CCGCCTCTCTTGGTGGCGGCGGCGGGGCCGGCGGTGGTGCTGGCGAGGACGGGAGCCGGGCGGACGCGGGCAGGCAGCTGCAGGGCCGGGGGCAGCAGCAGGAGGCGAAGGCTGCGGTCGGTGGTGCGGGCGGGGGTCCGGGGGCAGCGGCTGCGGCGGCTGTGGCGGCGGCGCAGGAGCGCTACTTGCGTGTGATGGGTGGCCTCCAGTTTGTGGAGGCGCCGCTGCTGCGGGAGCACTACTTTCGGAAGCAAGCGGAGGCGGCGGCCCGCAGCGGGGGTGCGTTCCGGGAACCCGAAACTGCACTGGGGACGCGAGCAGGAGCGCCGTTGAACAGAGCCGTCCTACAACGGAGCGTCGCCGGCGGGCAGGAATTGATGCAGGGCCGCCGACCGACCTGTCCGCCACGACGCACGCACACGCAAGCAACTGCCCCGCGCCTCGAGCGGCTCGCCCCTCTGGCCAGCGCCGGCTTGCTCTTGGTTGGATTCAGCAACTTTGGCGTGTTGCCTGGACCCTTTCTTAAATCAAACCGCAGGCGCACGTGCATGCAAGCATCTGCACTGCATGCAGCTCAAGCACCTCGCCCCTCTAGTCAGCATCGGCTTGCCTTGGGGCTGAAATCAGATTGGCCTGGTGCCTGGACCCCCTTCCAATCTCGACTGCAGGCGAGGCCATGCGCCAGCGGCTGCGCCGCATCACATCCGAGCTGGGAACCCTTAGCACCAGCCTCCCCCTGGCGCACGGCACGGGCGTGCTGCTCGCCGTGGACGACGTGCGGCTCGACGTGCTGCGCGCGGTGCTGCTGCCGGCGCCGGACACGCCGTGAGCGGGGCCGCAGGGGGCGTGCGGACGCACCGCACCGGGGGCGGCTGACATCGCCGCGGCTCCGACTTTCAGCGGCGTGGAATCGCGAGCGGAGGGCGGCTTGCTCATGCTGCCTGTCCAACACCGGCTCATTCTGTCAACCATTCCGCCTAGTCAACCGCTCTGCTGCCTCTTTTCACGGTCCAGGTACGCTCATGGGGCCTTTGTTTTCGACATATGGCTCCCGAACGACTACCCAAACGCCCCGCCGCAGTGGGTCCCGCTGCTCTCATTGCTGCGCCCCCCCCACCTCTCCTTGCTCCGTCTGTCCGTGCACGCCCCTGGCCACTCGCCAGCAGTCTTCCCCTGCCTGTTGCTTGCGCACCTGAATACAGTTGCACCGGCCCTCTGAGCGCACCCACACGCAGACGCCCACACGCACACATGCACTTGCACGCACACGCTTGTGCTGGCGCTCAAGCACGCACATGCAAACGCACACGCACGCACGTTGCTGTGGTACCAGGGTGCATTTCCTGACAACGGGCGGCGGCACAGTGCGGTTCAACCCAAATCTGTACAACTGCGGAAAGGCAAGTGCCTCCATCCCCTCGTCAACTTCGGGTGTTCCCCCAATGCCACGACCGTCTCGCTCGACCTCTTCTGAGTGAAACAGTGCTTGGCGCTTGGCATGCGCCGCGAAGGCAGCTGGATGGGCGGCGGCCCTGCCTTGATACGCTCAAGCGTGCGTGCTGGCCGCCTGCTCCCAGGGTACAGCCCGCTCCCAGGGTACAGCCCGCTGCACCCCTCTCCCTGCACCCATGGATGGCCGCACGCCGCCTGTTCTGGCTCCCTCACCCTGCAGGTGTGCCTGTCGCTGCTTGGCACCTGGGCCGGCCCGAGCTGGCAGCCGGGCGTGTCGACGCTGCTGCAGGTGTGCAGCATCGCAGCCACAAACGCGCCGTGCCCCATCCACATTCAAGTGTGGGCCCCATCTTACCCGTCAGCGCCACTAATGCCCGGCGTGCCCAATCGTGCAGCCCTGCTTGCCCTCCATGCGCGCGCCTGGAGTCGCCCTGGGTTTCAGCTTGCCTGGTCGTCTCTCTCGCCTGCCCCCCCACACCCTCATGAGTGACAACGTACCATCATATTCGGTCTGGTCCACCCCAACCCACGTAAACATGTGCGCTTGCGCGTGTGCACACCCGTGGTACCGCACCATCCCTTCCCTTCGCCTGCTGTCTCACCATCCTGTCGCTCTGGCACCTGTCCATTACCCCAGCCCCCCCTAACAGCCCCTGTTTGCCCCAACTCAATATCCTGATGGCAGGTGCTCGTATCTATCCAAGCCTGCGTGCTGGTGGCTGACCCATTTTTCAACGAGGTGCAAGGGCCGTTTACTCATCTCGCCTGTGCGACGCTTGGCTGTGGGATTGGAGGACACAGCGGCGCGATGCATGCACTGAGGCGTGCATCGCTATAGGCGCCTCCAACGCAATATCTGACCCCCAACACCAGTGCCTGCTGTGAACCTTACATCCAGAACCCTGAGAGCAGCCCGAACAGTGATGATGTTTGTTGATGCTGCCGTAAACAGTGAACCATGAAACCAGCTCGCTCTGCACGCCCCATCCGCCCGCGGCCCCCTGCCGCAGCCTGGCTACGAGAGTCAAATGCGCACGCCCTCGGGGCGCGCCAGCAGCGCAGCCTATAACGATGAGGTTCGCGCGAACACCGCGCGCCACGCGCTGCTGGCGCAGCTGCGCCGCCCGCCCGCGCCCTTCGGCGCCGCGCTGCGCGCGCACTGGGCGCTGACTGCGGCCGCGGCGAAGGAGGCGCTGCAGCGGTGGGGGCGGGAGGCGAGGCAGCCGGCGGCGTGCACAGCGCTGGGGGCAATCGTGCAAGAGGCGGGGGCGGAGCTGGATTCGCTGGTCGCGGCGTGGGAGAGCGAGCAGCAAGCGGCAGCGGCGGCTGCTGAGCCGGCTCCGTCGCCACCGCCTCAGCAGCAGCAGCAGCAGCAGCAGCAGCAGCAGCACAGGCAGCAGGCGCCCCCCGCGTGGCTTGGCCCGGGGGCTGCAGCGGCGGAGCCTGATGCGGGGGTGATTGACCTGACATGAAACGAGGAGGCCGCATGGCTAGCTTCGGCGTGGGTGATCCAGATTACGCGGTTGTAAGTGGCCTGGAAGCGTTGGTGGTTGTAAACCACATGGACAACACGATCGGGGGGCGCGGGCGCGATTAAGTGGGTGCCTCGAGCACAGCAGCGGAGCTGTGACGGGAATCGGCGGAGCCCACGGCGCCCTCTGCAGCCAGCGTACTCAGCAGCCGAAAGCTGCATGTCTGAAGCTCGTCTGTCAACACGCAGCTGCTGGGTGTGAGACCCAGTGCAAGGGGGGGACGCTTTGGCCTGGGGCTGGCAACACAGCGAGGCTTAGCCCTCAATCGACAACGCGGTGACGCGTTTTAGCAAAGTGGATTATCAACGGGTGCTTCAGCGCTGGCTTGGCGCCTGGCCCCCCTCTGCGCTCCTGCAGAGGCGCATCAATGACTGTGTCTGTGCCTATTGAGGAGTGGGGTGCTAGTGTGACCACACTCGGTCGCTGGATCGGCTGTTGACACCTCACATTGCACCGCAAACCGCACTGTCTTCCTGTTTTATCGCGCGCACGGGCGGTCTTCGCCTTGGAAGCGCTTGCAAACGTCAGCTGAAAGAACCCGTCTTGCCCGCGGGTCACGGTCATCGCGACCCACATTGTGCATGCACAATTTTGTCGTCATTATATGAACAGTGCCAGGCGCTTGCTAAACTGAACTAACGCTGCCGCATTGTTGCAAAGTGCTTGCGGTTCCCTTCGAAACAAGCGCGTCCCCTGATAGTTGGCATCAAACCACTGTTATCCACTCGTCCTGGCTCAAATTGGCACTATGCGCAGCCTGGGAACAGCTTGTTCGAAGTGTTCGTGCCGGAATGGCAGCTCTGCTCGCCTGATCGGTCCTGCGAGGCTGTTCACGCGCACTCGGCAGGTTCAGTATGCTCAAAACTCCGCTGCAGTTGCGGGGTTGTCGCGTGGCCCCGTGGAGGAGACGGAGAAGAGCGCCAGCGAGCCCCGCAGCCCCGCGACGTTGACACCAGCGCGGCGCGCGCGCGGCGAGGACGATCGCCCCAAGACCCTGCGCAACATCGTATTTGTGTCTTCTGAGGTGCAATTTGCCGTTCGTAAGGAGGCTGCACCAGTCGGGCAGCTCGGGTGACGGCATTTTCGGGGCATGCATATCGGTATCAACTTGAAATGCGGGGGCACTCCCTTCAGCATGCTGCCATGCCCCTGGGCGTACGTGCACCTTGGCAAGCCGCACCATATCCACGCACGTACGCCCTCCAAGGCGGCCCCCTGGTCAAAGACCGGCGGCCTGGGTGACGTCATCGGGTCCCTGCCCATCGCCTTGGCGGAGCGCGGCCATCGGGTGATGGTGGTGATCCCGCGGTACGACGACTACGAGGATACCCTAGACACCGGGGTGAGCGACCGTGAACTTCTCATCGGCGGCTGCGTGGAGCCTGGGGACGCAGGAGCCCGAAGGGCGGCTGCAGCCGAAGTCGCGGCAGCTGGCCCGATCAGCAGGCGCAAGGAAGTGCGGCGACCCCGCCCAACGCCAGCGGCCTTTTTATATATCGGCCACGCGCAGCGGCGTTCAGGCGGGCCGTAGCCTGAGCGGCAGCGGTCAGGCTGCTTCTGGTATACACTGGTTGCATGTACCCTGTATACAAATTGGGCTGTGTTCTTGATCTCCCTCTCAGGTCAAGGTGGAGTTGCTGGGCCACTCCACGATTGCTTACTTCCACAAAAGACACAAGGTGGGCAAACCCTACAGGCCCCAGCCATGACCTGAAGTTTCACAGCCTCAACCCCACGGATCGCACGCTGCGGCGCGGGAACGCGTCCGTGCTGCGTTGAGCGGGGGAGGCGCTCACGGATCTGGCACTGTGGCTGACGAATGATAGGCGTCCTCTGCAGACCCTACGCTGCCGCCTGCCCCCCACTTTGTCCGCCCCGCCCCTGCCCGCCAGGGCGTGGACTTTGTATTCGTGGACCACCCCAGCTACAAGCGGCCGGCAGGGCTGTACGCAGATGCGAAGGGGCCCTATGGCGATAACCAGGTGAGGGCGGGCGGGCGCATGCATGCATGCGTCTTGAGTGCGTGCGTGCGTCCTGTGTGCGCGTTGTTGGTGTCAGAGGTGGGTCAGCGGCTGCATCGCTGGGAAAGATAGGCGCGCACCCGGCTGGCGCGCCTCCGTTGAAACCTGCAGCGGCCCTCCCAGCGCAGCTCATCGGCTGTGCTCGCCTTGGCCCCACCTTGCCGCACCGCCGCCCGCCGCCGCTAATGCCAGTTCCGCTTCACGCTGCTGTGCCTGGCGGCGTGCGAGGCGCCGCTGAACCTGCCGCTTGAGAGCGCCGAGGGCGGGAGCAAGACGGTGTACGGGCAGGTGGGTTGGCGGCGTGGCGCGGCCCCGAACGCAAAGGTTGGGCGTTTGGATTCGATTTGGAGCGCTGGAATGTTGTGCCTGGGCGTTGGCGAGGGGATCCGAGGGCGGCAGGGCAGCGGGCGTCAAAGTGCACTGTAGTGCGTTGTGAGGCGCACCCCTGATGGGCGCCGAGGGAGGAGGTGGTGTGCTGATTGGCATGTTTATGACACCAGCCTGGTCGGTGGTTGGGTCAGTAGGCCTGCTCGGCTGAGCATCAGTGTTCAGGGATGGCTGAGTGGGCTAGGGGGCAAGGGGTGGGTGCATGGTCGGGCGCAAAGTGGACACCTATTGGTGGCGGTGCAGGGGTGGTGTTATTGGTGCCAAGGGAAAAAAAGAGGGGGCAGCTGGGAAGAAGGGGGTTGCAGGGGGTTACATCAGCAAGCCCGCTGGTGGGTAGTAGAAGCGGCACGGCAGAAGGCGGGGGGCCAAGGACGGAGGGGGCTCCGGTGCGGGAGTGCCCGCGCAGTCGGTTTTGTGGCAGGCGCGCGATTCATAAGCCCGTGTCGCAGGCATCCTGGCAGTGGGTGTCCCCTCCTGCGTTGGCAGAAGGCAAGGGAACGCGCTCGCTAACGACTCATTGTCCGTCGGCACGCCTCCTCCGCCCTTGCACCTTGCAAACAACGCCACCCCCACACGAGCACAGTTTTGCCAACATGCTTCATGCTGGGGGTCTCCACTCTTCGTACCACCACCACCACCACCACCCTAGGACATCACCTTTCTGGCCAACGATTGGCACGGCTCCCTGGTGCCGGTGTACCTGGCCGGCAAGTACCGCCCTCACGGCGTTTACATGAACGCGCGCAGCATATTGGCGATACACAACCTGCGGCACCAGGTGCGGGGGGCTGAACTCCGGCCGTGCCAGCCGCGCGACGGCGTCCTGGGCCGAGGTCAAGCTGTGGGGCCGCACGTTCGTCGCAGCGGCGTGCGGTGCAAGATGAGGGGTAGGGATGGGTGCTGAGGGCGGGCGCGGCACCTGTTGGGGACACGAGGTGCTGGTGGGAGATGGTCAGGGATGGTTGTGCGTGCGACGGCACGCGCCGTACACACTGTTGTACATGAACTGCAGCAGCCCTTGAGGCCGCAGCAGCCGCGCTGAAGCTGGGGGCTGAAATCGTGTGGGAGGGCGTTGCGCAGCTGGGTCAGACAGAGTCTGGCGCTTCGGGTCAGCAAAGCGAGGTGTTTGCTGGTCTTTCGGACGACAGCGACGCTAAAGATTTCGCTGCAGGGCAGGTCGCAGCTGCAACCCCCCCCCCCCGTTGTGACAGCGTTGTCTTTTTTTCTCTGCGACTGCGCACTTCGTGCCGCGCAGGGCGTGTTCCCGCCGCACACATTCCACGAGCTCGGCCTGCCCGACAATTGGTACGGCGCGGTGGAGTGGCAGTACCCCCCACACCAGGTGAGTGCCTGGGCATGAATGCTTGCCCGACGGTTTCAACAGCACTGATCATTCACATGTTGCAGGGCAACATGGCACAGCATGGTAGCTGTGAGAGCAGCTTACAACCAGCACACCGACCTGCTTGCGACCTACCCGGGCAGCAGTGCTATAGCCGCACCCCTGGTCAAACCTGGTGAAACCTGGGTCCGCGCATGCGCCCGCTTCGCGCCGTGGCTGTCGCGCGCTCGAATGCAATATACGCGTTTCTTTGGAACGCGCGCCGCGCAGCGGCAGGGCAGCTACGCGGAGGAGGGGCGCAGCATGAACCATTTGAAGGCCGGCATCACAACGGCGGACCGCCTGCTGACCGTGTCGCCGGGTGAGGCCAGGTCCCGCCCCCTCGGACCCTCCGCCTCAAGAGGGGCTGTGGCCCTTGGGCTGGGCTGGGCCAGGTGGCTGCAAATGGCCGGCAGGTGTCTTTCTGGAACCCGCCTTGCTCTGTCCCACTACGGCTACTCAAGGACAACCTATCTCCTGTTCACCCTGCTACAGCCATCGCATCACGACCCCCTCTCGCTCCCTGTCTCCTCGCCTGCCACACTGACATCACAGCACCACCCCCTGCCCGCGCTCTGCCCCTGGCCCGTGTCGCTGTCCGATGTTCCAAGGTTACAGCACCGAGATCACCACATTCCTGGGGGGCTGGGGCCTGGAGGGGCTGCTGGCCAGCCGCGCGTCCGTGCTCAGCGGCATCGTCAACGGGATCGACGAGGACGAGTGAGCCCCGCCGGCCGCGCGGCAGGCTGCCACGCTCGCCCCAACAGGCGACGCTGCGCTTCAGCCTGCCTGCTCTATCTCCCCCCGCCCTCCTCAGGCGCCTGCGTGGGCTGGCGCCCGCCGTCTGCATCTCCGCAATCGCTGCAGCGAGCGCTGCACTTGTGCGCTTATCCCACGCCACCTGTATTCCTTTCTCAGCCTGATCAAACCCAGTGGTCGCATCCCGGCTGCCCCTGGCAGCCCTGGCAGTGACCCGCTCCTGACGTCAACCCCATCTCTGACACCACTCACCACCACAAGCACTGACCACAATGGTTTGCAGCGCATCTTTCTCCCACGCCGCGCTGCTCCATCCTCCCTCCTATCCGATCCACAAATCTGCAACCCCCAAAGGTGGAACCCGGAGACCGACCCCCACCTGCCCACCAACTACTCCGCTGCCGACTTCAAGGCTGGCAAGGCGGCCAACAAGGCGGCGCTGCAGCAGGAGCTGGGGCTGCCGGTCGACCCGGACGTGCCCCTGCTGGTGAGCACCGTCACTTGTCACTTATCACCTCTCACTTGTCACTTGTCAGTTATCACTGACTGTTCGTTTACTCATAAGCAGTGACTAAGTTGGTAGATCAGTTATTTGAGTTGCTGGTGCGCTTTCCCGCTCGTCATTATCGTTTGACTTAATACTACCGACTAGCTGCTGAGTCACCTTTTGGAACCAAGTGCATCAAAAGTCCAACCCAATGTTTTGACGCTTGAAGCTCCGCGCGTGTGTCTGAAGAAGTGGAGCCTTGTATGTAGTGTGAACAAGCCACACGCGTGCGGCCGGTCACCCCCCACGTCCGACTGGCTTGCTTGCTCGTGGGACGTCTGCACAGGCCAAGGGTTTGTCAGTGCCCCGCTGCTCAGGAAATTTGGCTGGCACCCAATTGGCAGCCCCACCCACCACGCCGACGCTGAGTTGCAAAGCTTGCGAAGTCCGAGCAGCTGTCCACCTGGAAGTTGCAAACGCAAATCAACCATTGATCAACCGACGCCGACCCCCGACCCAGGCGTTCATCGGCCGCCTCGACTTCCAAAAGGGGGCAGACCTCGTTTTGCAGGTGGGCGCCCGGGGGTCGTTGTTGGGTATGACAACGGGGCCCAAATCAGTTCCTGGTGGATTTTTTCAAGGAGCGAGGCATCAGTGCGATCATTTCTTGCTGGTGTGCGCAGCCGCCCCACCCTTGCTTCGGGTTGCAGCCGGTTGCGCGCCGCGGACGCACCTCGCGCCCTCGCCGTGCGTGCCTCTGTGGCAGACGCGCAGGCGCTGCGGCCCGGGGCCGCGTCGGCGTCATCGGCAAACCGCCCCTCCCCCGCCGCCCCCGACCGCCCGTGCGCGCCGCGCCGCGCCGCCCCTGGCCCGGGTCGTCCCAGGTGGCGCCGTGGCTGATGAGTCAGAAGGTGCAGCTCGTCTGCCTGGGCACAGGGACGCCCGACCTGGAGGTGAGACCACCCCTGTTGACAGGGGTACGAGGGCGATGAGGCGCGGCCCCTGCCTCGTCGCCCCCGCCCCCGTCGCCCTCGCTCCGAGGGCTCATGCCGTATCTGGCGATTGCGGGAGCGCATCGGCTGTGTGCGGATGTTGCCAATCCCCAGCCAACCCGCCACCGCACCTCGGCACCCCCGTGCCTGCCCGAATCTTCGTTGTGCCCCGTCCGCACTTCTTGCAACCCACACATATGAGATCACATGCACCCCGCTTGCACACAATGTCTTGCACAGACACGCGCGCACACAATCACCTCCACAATCCATGCCCGCGCTCTCTACTTGAAATCTACGCGCCCAGGCCGGCCTGCGGTGGCTGGAGGCTACCTACCCCCAGCAGGCCCGCGGCTGGGTGGGCTTCAACGTGGCGATGAGTCACAAGATGACGGCAGCTGCCGACATCCTGCTGATGCCCAGCCGCTTCGAGCCCTGCGGCCTCAACCAGCTCTACGCCATGCGCTACGGCACCGGTGCGCGGGTTTTTGTTGGGTTGGGATAGGATAGCATGGGCCATGCGCTACGGCACGGCGGGTGTGCGACCGTCTTTTGGATGGGTTGGGACGGCATAGGCCATGTTGCGATGGGGGTCCTTGCCCTGCGGCCGGCCCAGTGCATACTTCGTGCCGGGGTTGAGTGCTGGGTCTGTGGTCCTGTGCGCCATCAAGTCGTCCTGACAGTTGCTCTTCATGCAATAGAAGCCAACCATTGTCTCGTGTTGGTCTGATCAGTTGATCGCGCAGTGCGCTAAGCTGAAATGTGCACAGAGCACCTGCTGATTGATACCATGTCTCTGACCCTAAACCCCATCCCGCGATCCTCATGTCACTGCACCCCGTCAGTCCCTGTCGCCCACAGGACCGGGGGGCTGCGCGACACCGTGATCGACTTTGACCCGTTCGCGCAGGCGAGCGCCGCCCCCGATCCCACTCAGCCTTTTAGCCCAGCCGTCACGCTTTGTCTCGGGCGGCAAACATGGTCTGCGCCGGCACGCCCTGATCAGCCTGGAGTTAGCGGCGCCAGCCGTGCGCCGCGCCTGTTGATGGCGCCTGCGACCCTTGCGTCGCTCTTTGCTCACTCCCCTCATCCCCTCTGCAGAGGAACACCCCCCCCCCCTGCTCCTCTCCTCGACACCCTCACTTCGTGCTTGGCCCCGCCGCAGCCGCCTGTGGGCACCGGCTGGACCTTTAGTAATTTTGAATCCGGGGGCCTCATGCATGCGGCCGGCCTGGCGCTGTCGACTCTCAGGAAGCACCCTGAAGATTTTGAGGGCATCCAGGCGCGCGGGATGGTGCGCGACAGCAGTTGGAACGCGGCGGCAAAGACATATGAGCAGGTCTTCGAGTGGGCCGGTGAGGCGGGGGCCGCCAGGGCGGGCTTTGGGCGAGCGGCCGGGGCGGGGCGAGGCGTGCTGTGAGTGCGGGTGGGCGCGGGCCAGTGTGCGGGCATTGTGATTTTGAGGAGTTTTCCATGTGCGGGCTGTGTGTATGCATGCAAGCTGGGTTGCGTCCCACTCACAACGTCTTTATTCGTGCGTGCGTGCATGCATGCACGCAACCGTCCCTGTGCGCACGCGCACATGTGATTGTGTACATGTGGGGACACGTGTGTGCATGCATGTGCCAAACCATGCTCAAATGACTTGAGGCTGTGTTTGCATTTGCTCTCAGATGCAAACAAGAACGGTTTCCGAGGGCAGTTGCTTTGCATACATACGCCACGTCGCCACCCCTCCCTCCTGCCCCCCCCCCCTCCTGCCGCCGCAAACCAACCCGCAGCCATTGACCCACCGTACTGCCGCTGAGGCAGCATGTGCCTAGTCAGGCGCTGCCGTGGTGGCTGTCGCAGACAGCTCCATCCTGATTCTGCAGACCCGCAGCCAGCTTGCCAGGGCCAAGTTGGGCGAGTTGTGCTGCGGAGGGGCCGCAGGGGCGCCATCAGGAAGAAGCCATTCAAAACAGACGCGATGTGTTGCAACTTTTAAAAAAGGGACTGAGTCGCGACGAGTTTTGAAAACGGGGGCTTTGCCTTGCGTGTCTGTCAGAGTGCCGTACCGCTCGACGGGCATCCCGCATCGCGCACCTCAGCGCTGCCGCCGCCGCTGCTGCACTTGACGCCGGCCGGCCCCCTCGTCTGCCGCCCTCCCCTCCGCCTCTTCGGCTGCGTTGGCGTCTGGGTATCATTTCCGCGCTACCCACGCGCGCGCTCGCGCGCCCTTTGCGGCGCATGAGGGTTTGGGTCGCTACGGATGCGTTGTTGGGCCAAACATCAGATGCGCCTCACGAACATAAGGGCGGCGGGCACGCGGCGCGGCGCCAAGCGCCGCCCGCTGCACTCGTTCCTTCGCCCCCGCCACCTCAGCGATTTTTCCAGGTTAGAGCGCAGGCTGTTGCTATTACCGGAACGCGCGCCTCATCAGGCGCCCGCCCGATTACAGGCTCGCGGGTCCCGCGCGCACCCCATCGCCCGTGCGTGTGCATCCGCACGCGCTTGCGCTCTTCCCTTCCCTTGCCTTTCGTTCCTCCTCCCGTGTGCGCACACTCCCTCTCCAATGCGCCGCCAAGGCAGCTACTTGCATGCATTTTGGCTCGGGCGCGCCAACCCCCACCCTGTCGGGTGCACCGTTTGCAGGCTGCGGTGGGGCCACATCAAACGCCTTGGTCCACCGCCTCCCTGTGTGCAGGGGCGGCGCATCCGCCGTCTCCCTCTCGCACGGGCCGGCCTTCAGGGGTCACTCTGCGGGCTCTCAACGCGCGACGAGCGGCAGCAGCGCGGCAGCAGCGGCAGCAGCGGCGCCTGTGCTTTTAGCAGCAAGTCCGTCAAGGCTCAAACCTGAGGCCTTTTTGGTTGAGGGTCACGTCTGCGCCTCGGGTCGCTTTTCCAATTTTTTTGAGCAGGGACTGTCTTTCTCGTTCGGGTCTCTCTCGTCCCCCTGCCCATGGGCGTCAAACAGGGGCGAAATTATGGCAAGCTGCCCTGGATCCTACACCGCCGCCCCGCACAAGCGCCTGGGTGCACAAGCGCCACACGTGAGCCACACTCACTTCCTCGTGGGGACAGAGGTTGCCGCGTTGGTCAGGCGCCGTGACCCCTGCTGGCGGCATCACAACCTCCAGACGCAACACGGCCGCGGTGGCATTTTCCAGCCGTCCAGGGGGCCAGCGAGCACCTGGCTTATGCCGTTTCGCGTCGACTGGTCGAGCGCCTGCGGCCGACCTCGGGCTGTGGCGCAAGTTGCGACGCAGCCTGCACAGCCAACGCAGGCTGTCCTCTGTCTACAGGTAGAAACCCCTGGGGCCCTTGGCATCAGCTTATTGTGTCTGTGGGCTTTGCTTATCCTGGTGCCTCCTCTGTGAGTTGTGGCGGTGGCTGCTGCCGCAGCAGCAGCAATCCGGCTGCTCAGCACGCGTCATAACCGAGTAGTCGGCCAATGCTCATTGGACGATTTACGTGCTGTGATTGCTCCAGGGTGCAGCAGGTTTTACAGGGGGTTGTTACCTCAGGGTACAGCAGGCAGGTCATGCATCTGGGGCACCTTTCGCAAAGCAGGTCTCTTCAAGTTGCTGGGCAGCAGTCAGGCGCCATTCAGGTTGGCAAAGCTGGTGGGATTTATCAGCAGTTGCCAGCCCGTGTCTCAGTCAGCAGTCAGCAGGCAGTCAACCCAGGTCTACTGCCCTGCCAGGTCGAACAAGCATTAATAAGCCTGACACATGTTGAGATCTGATGTGTGTTCGTGCGTGCGCGCACGGGCGGGCGCAGCCGTTGCGGCGTGCGCCGGGCTGGTGCGGAGCTCCCTGCTGTTGGGAGGCCTGGTGCTGGGTATCATGCACGCAAGGCAGGGGGAGCAGGATGGTGATGAGCGAATGGTGGGGTAAAGTGCGATGAGCAGGGACTGTGTGGGCAACCGCGGCGGTGGATAGTACAGGCAACAGTGAGCGCGGCAGCAGCTGGGATGCGGCCGGGCTGCACGGCTGCAACAGGGCGAAGAGAGCCAGGCACGGGCAAGGTGCGCAGCGATTGCGCTTGCGGTCGGGCGCTGGATAACAAAGCCCAGCGGAGGGGCAGCCGGGGAAAAGCTTTGGAGCCCGCTTGAAACATCAAGGCGCAGCGCACCATCGCGGCGGCAGGCTTCTTTCAGCCACATGCGCGCCTCACGGCGGGCTGCTGCGCCAGGCTCGATGCGCATAGGCGTCATGGCAGGCAGAACACATCACCCCAAAAGTATATCGTGCAACCAGCGGCTGATTTCACACAACACCCCTCGGCCCTTCGGGGGCCCTATATTCACCAGCATGGGGCCGGTGCAGGAGGAGGCGCCGGGGGTCGCCCGGACTGCACCCATCAGCCCGGCGGCCAAAAGGATGTGGCCACCTTGGCGCCGCTGAGGCGGATCCACATCACCATCGTCAGCCCCGCGGCAACGCAGCAGGCCGCGCCCAGCACGGAGTCACCCAGGCAGTAATCCAGGAGTGACCAGACGCCCCTCCAGTAGACGATGACGCCGGTGACGGCCGCGAGTGTGAGGCCCACGGAAGATACATCGGCTGTGAGCTGCTTCTGAAACTGAAAAAGGACGGGCCCCGGGAGCAAGGGGGCCGGCGCCGGGTCGTCCAAGTTGGGGCCATCCGCTTGCAGCTGGCGCGCGGGTGTCACCACCGCGGCGCCGAGCGCTGCTGCCGCAGGGCCTTCGGCTAAGTCGTCGTGCGGCTCGGAGGACGGCTGCGCCGGCGGCGGCCGCGGCAAGCGGGGCGCGAGGCCGAGAGTGCCGTCCCACGCGACGGCACGCGCCGCAGCAGGCGAGGAGCCGGCGCCGGCCGGCTGGCGGTCAGCTGCAGCGCTCTTCTGACCGTGTGCGACTTTGCCGCGCTGCGGTAGGCCCTTGCCTGGGGGACCTGCGGCATTGGCGCGGACGCACAGGTGCTCGCGGCGGCGCTGCAGGCCAAGACTGTATGGGTCATGCTGCACACGGATCATCCAGGCCCTCAAAAGCGACTTGATACTGCTTCAAAACGTTTTTATGCCGCTATATGAGCTAGATATGGCGGCAAGCCCGGGCGACGCCCACTGCCAGTGCTCGCTAGCTGTCAACGTCAACTGAGAACAAAGAGCTCTTGCCTGCTAGTACCACACGAAGACAATACTGACAATATATTCAACAACTAAAACGAACACTGGTGATGCTGCCAGAGATGGGTAGCCGGCAGCACTGCAGCAGCTCAGCTGACGCAGTCATGAGCAGGTGCACTGTTCATGCTGCTGAGTTGCGGCACACCTGTTTCAGGGCCATGGGTAGAGCGCCAGTCGACGAATTCGCCGCGTGGCAGCGCTCGTGGCCACGTCCGCATGTCCTGGCATTTCAGCCACCATTCTGGCCCGCAGCTTGTCGCATTGACCAGAGACAGGTGGTCAATACCACAGCTGGCTGGGCGGCCACCATGGCCTGTGATAGCAGTTGATGCCCCACACACAGCTCCTGCCGTGCTGGCATTTGCTGTTCTGAACTCAGGCTGCTCTCAAAGCCACTGAAAACGCAACACAGATGCTCCCAAGGCCCCTCCGAAGGGTGAACTTCACCCTCGCCGCCTGGCCCCTCCTTGCCGATGCTGCCGATGGGACGTGGCAGCAATGTTAACAATCCATGCCACAGCGCCGCCTCTTCTTGAAAAGGCACGTGATGGCGTACACGGGCCCCTCAAAAGGGGCAAGGCTGGCGCCTCGCGGGCAGGCTGCGGGCAGCGTGAATAGCCAGCGCAGCAGAGCGCGGGGCGAAAGAAACGTGCCTGTCCAAATTCACAAAAGGCATAGCAGCAGGCGGCGCGTCGGCGACCTCCACACACGCACTGGCTGAATTGTTTAGACGTTTGCACAGTGGATTGAGTGCGGAACCAAATCGTTGTGATTGCAACACATGATGTGATGTGACGTCAAGTGTTTTATGTTGGATCTAGTGGCTGCCTACTACGTAACGGTTGAGTGCGCAGGTGTGTGATTGCGGATGGCTCAAATGGAACGACGCTGCGCTGCCTCCGACTACAAAACGACGCACAGGCTGCACCAAAATGCAAGCGATTGCTCGTCATCAGTGGCGGTCGTGCTGCCCTCTGCTGGTTTGGTGAGTGTGCCCTGGCCAGTTCAGAGGGGGCTTCAGCACATGCACACCACACATGCATGCACACGCGCACATGTGCGCTTGCTTGTCCATGCACGCACACTGCACACGTATACACAACACACAATCAGGCACACACGTACGCACGCCCGCTGACGTTGCGCCACCCAAAGCAATGCACAAACGCCGTCGAAGCATTGGCCTCATACGCAGCAGCAACTCCCTTTGCTAACCCTCTGCTGCACTGGCTGTCGAGCGGATGCGCAAAGTCCACTATCAGCACCCGCCGCTGCTGCAGCGATCGCATCCTACGCTGCTGATGCACTTGTGACTGCTTCCAAGCCCACATGGCAGCCCGCGCAAAAAAGTAGGGGCACACGGCGCTGCAAAGGCGCTGACCGCTGCAGGCGGCGGGCGCATGACCGCTGCAGGCGGCGGGCGCGTCACCCGCTCTGCATCAGGGCTGGCAGCTGTGGGATGAGCCTGATTAGGGCGGGGTACGACTCGACCAGTGACGCCCCCAAATGCTGCAGCCCCAGGTATGACACGTAGAGCATGCCTGCACACGGGGCGGGTGGGCGGCGGTCGGGCGCGTCGTCGGCAGGGAGCATGAGGCGCAAGCGCAGCGGCCGATGCTCACGACTGCGTCGCGCCCAATACGGACCGCCGCGGCTGCAGTGCTTGCGCATCTGCGCGGCTGCAGTTCCGTGATGACCATTCGGCTCCCGCCGCCCTCAGCATGGAAGGTGCATCGCGTGTCGGGTCGTGGTGGGCTGGCCTCTGCGTGTGTGGGCCAGGCTCAGCATGGCAGGCGGCAACGCTTGACCAGCGCCGCCGGTAGCCTGCCCCCCCGGCACGCCACATGCCCAAGCGCTCACCCAGGGGGACGCTCAGCAGCGTCGCGATCAGCACCAGGAGCAGCGCAATCGCCGCGACGGTCGCCACCGCCGTGTCGGCGGTGTCAAACAGCAGCCGCCTGCCGCGCGGAACAAGCAGGAGCAGCGCCAGCGCCACGGCGGTGCCGCCGGTGTAGAGCACCTGTTGTGGCACTTGCGACAGCTCTGGCAGCTGCCCTGTGGAGGCGGAAGACTGCACGAGCGTCGCGAAGGCGGCGAGATCCGCGCCCCGAGCCGCTGCAAGAGACAGCAGCTGCGCCCAGTGGTGCTGCAGCACGTCCATGGTTGTCGTGCTGCTGCGCCGCCCGCAGGCGAAGGAGCTGCCACCTGGCTGGCAGTCGGCTTCGAAATGATTTGATCGTCACGATGGACGCTACAGTTGAGCCAGAGGAGTTGATTCGAGGGCCGTGCTGGGGTGACCTGATGCACCACAACGGTGTTTTTGTGGGGAAAGCTAGTCGGATCCAATGGAAATATCAGCAATGACAAACGTGGGATTGCTGTTTCCAGGAGTCAATTGGGGTGATTCTGTTGTCCCTCATGTCAGCCGTCGACACCGTGCAGCCCCGTGCACTACGCTTCCTGTGATTCTCCCAGCGATCCCTGAGCGTATTCGTGGCACTGGTATTACAAAAACGTCATTGCACATTGCTAGCCTGGTGGTCAAGCTCGGTGTGGACGCGCTCGGGCTCTGCTATCCAGACCACCGGATCAGCAATGCTGTCGCAGCGTTCAGTGCCGTTGGGGGCTCGTAATGGTGTATTGGGGCATAACGTGTCCAGGACTATTGGGCTTGGACGGGTGCGGGGCGTCCTGACCATCCAGCGGGCAGCCTCTGCGGACGGTCAGGTGAGGCACGCTTTCAGTGGCGCGAGATCCCATGAATCGCGTCTGTGTGCCGTTGTATCCCTGTATCAGCGCCTGCGCCACCAGGCGCGATGGTGGTGGCAGGCGCGGCGGCGCTAGCGGGTGCCGTCGCTTGTGCTCCGTTGCCATTCAAACCTACACCACAGCGCCGGCACCCCAAGCTCGGCGGCCAACCCCAATTGAACCCAAAAATTCCAATTTGGCGTTCTGCACACCTCAGGATGCGTTGGGCGCAGGCGCCAGCAGCAGCAGCAACAATAGCAGTGGCGGTGCTCCCGTCGAGGCGCCCATTAGTGAGCGAGTTCGCCAGCGCGCGGCGGCCCGGCGGCGCGAGCAGCTGACATACCAAGCCAGTGCAATCGCGGCGTCGTTGGGCGTTGGGGCTCTCGCTGTTGGTGCCACTTACTACCGGTTCTCAATGCACATGTCCGACGGCGCGCCGTTCCCCTGGTGAGCGCGCGTCGCGGGTGCCGCCCACACGCGGGGCGCGCGCGCCGTCGCGGCCAGGGGTCCTGTGCGCGCGCTACGCGGGTATATGTCACACAACTCTTGCATGCAGCTGTGGGTTCGGCAGTGGTGCGCTGCTCGCAAGCGCACCAGGTTATGCCGACCGTCACCATGAGCACTGTTGGCGAGATCTCTCGCCAGTCGAGGCGCTCGCGCGAGCGCGCGTCGCGACGCGCGTCGGAAACTGCCCAGCCATCCGAGATGCCCCCCCTCCCCGGCCTCCCTTGCTTGTCGCCCACTCACTCCACATGTCCCCTCCTCCCCTCCCCCTCATCAACCCCTGTCTCACATACACACACACATACATACACATGTGACTGCACCTGGTTCATACAAACACCCTTGTCCCCCCTCACACCTCTCCGCAGGCTGGATATGGCCTGCACCCTCGCCCTGGTCGGCGGCGGCGTGTTCGGAATGGAGATGTGGGCGCGCTGGGCTCACAAGGCGCTGTGGCACGACTTTGAGCCCGGGTGGTCGCTGCACAAGAGCCACCACGAGCCGCGCGTCGGGCCATTTGAGGTGCGCCGCCTGTTGCGTGAGGCAGGGACGCCGAGTGGTGGGATGGGACAAGCACGGCGCTGAGATGTTGTATGTGGGGGAGCGGCTCTGCGGCCAGAAGCAGCTGTTTGGCGTCATGTACCCTGCCGTTGACTCCATGATCATCAGGCAACTGCCCAGAATTCTCAAGCTTTACGCACCTGCACGGCTGGGCGTGCTTCAGCACACTCTACACAACACGCTCCTCAGCACACTTCTTCACACACACACACACACACACACACACATGAAAAGGTGCACACACGCACGCATGCATGCATGTACACACTAACACAGTCTCGCTTGCGTATATACACACACACACATACACACACACACACACACACACACACACACACAATCCCTGCAGGCCAACGATGTCTATGCGCTGGTCAACGCCATCCCCGCCATGGGCCTGTGCCTCTACGGCTTCATCACGCCCTCCCTGGCCGGCAGCCTGTGCTTCGGCGCGGGGCTGGGCATCACGCTCTTCGGCATCATGTACATGTTCATCCACGGTGAGAGCCGCGCGCCCATACTCGGCGGTGCCCCGTCCTGTGCTTGCGCCTGGCCCTCTGTGACTGCGTGCACTCTGCTGGCTGGCAGCCGCGTGGAAATGCGCGCGGCGCCAGGCCTGCAGCTTTTGGGCGCATCCCGCTTGGTTGGTTGTCCAACCAATCGAGCTGCTGTGCTAGGCACATTTTGTGTGTTTGAGAGAGTGTGAAGGGCGGCAGGTGTTAATCATATGGCAGTGGGCCTGCAGGGCCGCGGCGCGCTGTGCCCTTTCCTGGCAACCCCAGCCCCAGACAGGGGGATGCATTGCAGGCCCCCCCTGCCGTGCGCGCTCCGCGCGTTGTCGGCAGCGCCCCACCCAACTCAATTTCTCGTTCCGCTAGGATTGCAGACCCCCCCCCCCTCGTATACACACACACCCAATCAATACACCACCATACACTCACATCACAGAGACATCACACACACACACACACACACACACTCAGTACACCACCATACACACACATTACACACCATAGTGACTCTCTCCCCCAATCCCTCCCCCAACCCACCCCTCCAAAGACGGCCTCGTGCACCGCCGCTTCCCTGTGGGCCCCATCGCGGACCTGCCCTCTATGAAGCGCATCGTCGTGGCCCACCGCATCCACCACACCGAGAAGTATGGCGGCGTGCCCTTCGGCATGTTCTTTGGCCCGCAGGTGCGGGGCACGGCCTGTGAGGGCGCCACCATAAGCGATGCCAGCAACCCTGGGGGCGAGGCATTTATCGGATTTACTGTCTGCGAGAGGGCGGGGCTGGCGTCCTTGGCGGGGCCCATGTGTTGTCTTCCTGCAACCCAGCGGCCAGGCCGTCCCCCCCATTCTTGCCTCGTGCAGTCCTCCACTGTCTCCTCGCTGCCACGTATCACCCCCTAGCTCAATGGACGCGCGACCGCACCGCACCGCGTTGTCCGCCCCGCGCAGGAGCTGGAGGCCATCGGTGCTGGCCCCGAGCTGGACCGGCTCGTTGCTGAGGCGGAGGCCGCCAGCAAGCGGGCCGCCGCGGCCGGCAGCAGCAGCAAGTGACGCCCTTTCCTTTTTGTCACTGAATCGCACCCTGCCGGCTCGGCAGGGTCCGGGTGATTCTCCTGGGCTGCGCTGCGCGGTCGTGAGGCCAGTTGCTCCCGTCTGAAACAGGTCAGAGCTGTGGGGGCCGTCTATGAGGCTGGGGCTGCAACAGCGTTCACGCTTCTCTTCTTCTTTCAATCGGCAGCGAGGAGGGTCGACAGCAGCGCGGCCGGCCCGGCTCTACGGGCGCGGGCCCGCGGCCCTGACTCAGGCGCGCCGTGCTCGTGCGGTTTGGCACGCGTGTGCGCGTTTCGGTTTGGATCCGACAGGCGGCCCTCCGAGAAGGGGCGTCGGCAACTCGGCGAGTGGTCACATCGCGCATTAGCGTTCGTGCGCGCAGCTCGGGCTTTGTGGCAGCAGTGCAAGCAGTGCAGCGCAGCTGGATCTGGGCACACTGATTGTTCGATCTGGGCACCTCAATCGTCGGCGCTTCGATCTCATCCGCCGCATCGGGGCTTGTGCCTCGCACACGCCGCCCCGCCTCGCTCGCGCTCGCGCGCCCATGCGGCCGGCGCCGCGGCGCGAGCGGGGTGGCGCGCGGGCGTGGTTCACGCTTGTTGGTGTGGTTGACGTTTGGAGCGGCCCCATGGACACGCACAGCCCTCGTACAACACCACGCGCCCACGACAGAGACGGGTGACGTCACACGCGCCACGCGCAGGCGCCCCTGCCACCCGGGCTCCCCGCAGTTTTGTTTCGACCGAGCACTTTTGAAGATCCGGCGCAGCACGCTTGGCGCTTTGCACGATGCGGAAGATTACGTGCGCGGGCAGCGCAGGCCCGGCCCAGGCCTGCCCTGGCGCCGGGCTGCGCGCCTCGCGCCCGAAACGGCAATCCTTAGCCCAGATTCGGATGAAACAGCAAATGCGCTGGCCCCTCGCGCTGCGGGGCTCGCGCCTACACAGGTGCGCCGGCTGCACTGTTTCGAGCCACTTGCGCGGGGCTTGGGGGCCCCCGGCCGGGCCACGCAATGCCCGTGCCCGGCCCCTCTCCTCGCGCCGGGCTTTTACGCGCCTGGCGAGCCGCCACGGCGCCGCGCTCTGGCGGCAGCGCCTGTGGCCGGCCCCTCATCACTGCACCCCTCGCAGCCGCCCCATCGACGGGCGCGCTGATTTTGACACCCGCAACACCCCCCTGCGCGCCACGGGGGCCGTGCGTTGCGCCCACTGCGAATTCCACTTGCGCCGCGCGCGCTCCCCAATGCCGGGCTGCTTTCTCGTGAGCCCCCCACGCAGCGTTGAAGCCCTTGTCTCCCCATGTGTCCCGCGGCGCCCACCTGCCGCTGCGGTTATGTATGGCCGCCGCGCCGGGCAGCCCCGGCATACCATGTGGCGAGCAGAGCCCTATTGCGCGCCGCGCATCCACGCCCCACCCCTCCTGGCCCCCGGCGCGTTTTATTGGAATCCCTCTTTTTTCCTTGCTGATGCAACAAAAACAAGCGCGTGCGGCCACCCAGTCGCGGGCGCAAGGCATTGCTTCCGCCCGTTGGTTGCGCCGCACGCGCCCCTAGCCCCATATCTTAAATCCATGTAATGAAGAAGCAAAGCAGACAAGGGGTAGACAGGCAGGGGTTTTATGGAGGCATGCGAAGGCGACACGGTCGGGACGAGACGCGGCAGGAAGGCAGCTGAGGTGGTGACATGCAACCATTCAGGCGCAAGCCTCACAGCAACAAACCAGCCCAGGTGACGGTGGCACCGAGTGCGGCGCGGCAGCAGACGGCTCCCAAGCCCGGCGCAGAGGGCCAGTCAAACCACGTCGGCCGCCCGGCCCGCCGCGCGGCCCTTGGATGAGGGCAGCCCTCCAAGCACAATCTCAGCCTCTGTGGCGCCAAAATCACGCGGCGGCGTCGGCGAAGGGGCGGCGCCCCGGCCGCGGCGGTTGCGGCAGGCCTCCCGCGTGAAGGAGACGCCCAGCATGACCACGTAAGACAGGATCTGCGCGCGCGCGACCAGGGCGGCACACGCAGGGCGCAGTCAGCATCGGCCAGCGGCTTGGCTGCCGGTGCTTGTAACGCACAAGCGGTGGCCCTGGGGCGGCGCCACGCTCCCCCGGCGTGCGGCCGCCTGGCCATTGCAGTGGCTCGGGGCGCTGATCACAGGGCAGCTGCTCAAGCGGGCATCAGGCGGCTGGGTTCAACAAGCGGCAGACCACTAAGCAAGTACGTGAACCACAGAGGAGCACAGCGGCGCACCAGGGCCTCGTTTTCACAATGCGAGCTGCAAGCTGCAGCACCCCTCATTCACGGACAGCACGGCCTGACCCCGTCCCCGAGAAACGCCTGCATGCGCTCCAACCAAGGGCGAGCATCGCCCCTGCTCACCAGCAGCACGGGGAGCGCCACGTAAGCGCCCAGGCTGGCGGGCTTTGACCAGTCAAGGCTGGCGTAGACCCACTCGCCGGTGGCGCCCCACCATGCCCACATGAAAACGCAGTAGGCGGTGCCGTACGCGAGGACAGCCTGGGAGTGAGCATTATTGCGAAACATATTTGATGCATGTGTGATTGGGTGTGCCCCTCATCGTCTGCTGGGACAAACGTGTCCCTTGCAATGCACGCAAAGTTTGGAGCCACAATGGTGGTTGCTGTCAGCACAGGCTGCGCCAGCAGCAGACCTGCGGCTCGATTTTGGTGCCACCCCTGAGGAGCATTCGGCCTGTTTGTTGACCTCGGCCCGGCGAGCCGCCAGCCCGGCGACTCACCGAGATGTGATACGAGACCACCGGCGCGCGGGAAAGGCCGAGGTCCAGCAGCAGCAGGGCGGAGCTGGCGCCGTGCTTGAACGGGTTGTCTGCGCGCGGGAGGACGCAGGGCGCGCGCAGGAGGTTGTCAAGCGGCAGGTGCGCCAAGAGCAAAGCTGTCGCGTGTGCGCAGAGGCGCTTGCGCTCTCGGGTCCAGGGGTTGCGCGTGCCGGTGCAACTGTAGAGGTCAGCGCTGGGGCTGTGCAGGCAGGCCATCGATCAGCGCGCCGTGCATAGCCTGCCCTCCGAACAACGCTCGGCGGTGCTGAAAGTATTGAGGACACCCAGGCACCGCCACATGCACGTGCACATGCACATGCACGTGCACGTGCACAACATGCACGTGCACATGCACATGCACATGCATCCACGTGCAAGCGCAGGAGGCGAGGGTTGATGTAAGCAAGCAAGCGCAGGTGTTGAGCCTCAAGATGCACATGCAACCGCAGGCTCAATCATGGGGCGAAAGCCACGCGGGCTGCTGCGAGCTCACCGACGCGGAGGAAGCTGCCCTTCTGGTATATGAGCGCCCAGTAGAACACGGTCAGCGCGACGCTCGCGGCGCACATCGTCTGAAGGGAGATCAGGTAAGCTTTGTCAACCAGCCGCCACCCGCGCTCAACGCTCCCGTCCTGCACCTCTACCATCAGAGGCCCTGGCGGCGCCGTCGCGCCCTGCTGATGCCCACACATGTGGCCGTCTGCCCCTGCTGCCGTTGTGGGGTGCTCCAGGGAACGCTGCTGCCGCGGCCGCCGCGCGGCGAGGGCGGTGAGCACGGTGCCCACCACGCAGGTCAGCCCGAACCAGGTGAAAGTCCAGTTGGTGAAAAACTTGAAGTAGCCCCGCGCGCCCTCGTCAGCATAGGCAATTTCGCCATAGGCGATCGCGAAAACGAACGCAGCAACACCCAGCGCGCGGAACGTGGCAAGCGCGAGGGTGCCGCGCGCGCCGGCGGCGGCGCCGGGGACCGTCCAGGTGGGCGTGTAAAGGTGGGAGGGATCCAGGAGCTCCCAGCACCAATAGGATGTCGGGCGTGGCGGCGTGGCGGCGGCGGCGGGTGGTGCGCCCCAGCTGGCGGCGCGGTTGCTGATGAGGAGCGGCCCGCCGCGGGCGCGGGCCGGCGCGGAGGCGGCACCGGGGGCGGCGGGGGCGGGGCCCGAGGTGCCGCGGCGGAGGAGGCGGCGTGGGAGAGAGTTCTCGTTCAGGAGGTAGAAGATGACATTGAAAACGAAGATGATCAGGACTGCGATGGCTGTGGTGGGGAAGCAGGCGGCGGGTGTGCGTGCATGTGGGGCATTGGTGGTTCGAGCGGTGGGCGAATGGACCAGGAGCGCACTGCAGGGTGCTCACTATGGGCCACTGTTGGTCCTGCGGGCCGGCCATGCCTGGCGGCAAGCGCCTCGGGTGCAGCCGCAGCAGAACAGCGTCATGGCACATGACGAGGCCACGCGAATCAGGGGCTGCCATGCGAGCTTGTTTTCCGCTCATGTAAGTTCATCGCATGCCTTACCAGGTATCCAGGCGGGTTGGGCCTCCATTCTTCCGGGCTCTGTGTCCGTGTGAGGTGTGTCGTGCTGAAAACGAGACTCGCCGAGGACCCAACGAGGGCCATATAAAGGTTGAATTGAGTATGACTCGTCCCTTACAAGGAGTGAGTGGACGGTCATTATGTGCGCAGATGCTTGGTGGGGCCTGGAAGGGGCAGCTGCCGCGCAACCCGCCGTGTGTGCAACCCAGTGGAATTCCGGCCACGTGGGCGGACCCCTGGCCGCTCACGTGCATGCGACTCGCACGTCCATCACGTCTGGCTTTGTGGGCTTGCTTGCTTAAGCACACGGTGTGCTCGCGCGGCCACACGCATCAGATAGAGCACATGCCCCCTTGCTTGTGCGCAAGTGGTGTTCGCATGTCCCAGATAAGCCAGGCAAAGGGTGGACCATCACCCATTGTAACAGTATACCTCACTGCCTCATGCAATCCCACGCGGCCAGGCTTGGTTTGCGTGCATTTCTCACATTACACGGCACATGGCCGTGGCCCCGGGGCCGGCCACCCCAGGGGTTCAGGGCAAGGCTGTACTAGCTCAACGTGGCTCACTTACTGCAGACCACGATTCAGGCATCCCTGTACTGCTTGAGCTTTGCAGTGCGAAAACCTCTGCAGCCATCCTTGTGAAGCACGTGGCAACATGCACACACATATGATTGCATGCACATGGACCGACGATTACCTGATCAAATATTATCAGCAGTCGGTCACAGGTCAAGCACCAGCCAGGGTGCTACGGCCGGTGAGTTCACTTGGGATTTCGTCAGGAAAACTTTCAGCATAATGAAGCAGTTTCAATGTAGCCACAAGCCTGCACCAACTTTCGTCAGCTGCAATTGAAGCCAACTTCGCAGCACCATAGATCCGGATTGAAAGGATTCCCTTTTCTCGTTGCTGCTGTGGTCAACGATCACCGCAATCTCATCAGGTGCGCCTGGCAACGATCACACCGCCTTTCCATGGAAAATTTCAGTCAAAAGCTTTCACACAGCACAAAACCTGCAGCTGAGGCTGCGGCGGCATGCGAAAGCTGTTCAAACACGTCACCAGGCCGCAGAACCACAGCGCAGGGCTCCGACGCAAGGAGCCCCCGCCCATACCCGGCAGCCAAGGCCCACAATCGTTGTACCCACCGACAACTCCTGCACGCACCGTAGTCCGGATCTCACCCAAACCAGCCAAAATGCAGCTGACCATGATGCGGTCCGGTCTGCGCGCGGGCGTCCGCCCTCAGGTAGAGCTGGGAGAATAATAATGCAACATAACTTTCGAAGCGTATGGCCCCCCAATGGGCTGCTTTGAGGCGGGTTCCGTGGAGCTCGGATGAGATCTGTGTTGCGAGCAGATGTGGCTGGAGGATCGGGCCGAGCAGCATTCTTGCACGGATGAGTAAAGAGACAAGGTTTTGAACTTAAGACTGCCCCCGGCAGCGGCCCGACCCTGCGCACCTGATCGCCGCGCTCGCAGGCGTCGCGCGCCAGGTCTGTTGCGGTGCGCGCCGCCGCCGACCGGCCAACCTGGTACCCCGGGGCCGAGCCCCCGAGCTACCTGAACGGCACCCTTGGTGAGCTGCGGTAGCCCGCGCATGGCGTCGGCCGCGCTTTGCAGTGCCACGGTGGAGCGCCCTGTGCGGCTTCACCCGCATGGTTTGCGTCGCGTTCGCTGGCATCCGCAGCCTGCCCAGCCGCAGCATAAACAGGCACATTCATCTGACCGCGCCACGTCATGGGACCGTCCAACCAATGCCCTCTGCCCTGCCCGCAGCCGGTGACTACGGCTTCGACCCCCTGCGCCTGGTGGGCAGCTGCTGGGCGGCTTCTCGTTGCAGGACGGCAGCATTCCGTATCAAACCATGGGTCCCACGGGGGCTCGCGCAACGCCTTATTCACAGCATCACCCGGCCCATCGCAGCGACGGCCTCGGCGCCCGCACCAGCGGCCGTCACTACCCGGCCCACCTCACCCCCTGCCCCCATCACCCCTCCCCACACACCCTCACTCTTGCCCAAACAAAACACTCACTATTTCACACCCACTGCCCTGCAGGGCGCCAACCCTGAGAGTCTGAAGTGGTTCCGCGAGGGCGAGCTGACCAACGGCCGCTGGGCCATGGCCGCGGCCGCGGGCATCCTGTTCACTGACCTGGTTGGTCTGCCCAAGTTCTGGCTGGCCGGCGCCGAGGTGAGGGGAGGGGTGGTACTGCTGCCTGCGCGGCACCCCAAGGGACGGGCAACTCAAGGTTTGGGCAACCCAAGGGTTGGGACGGGGGAGTCATCCGTTTCGCAAAAGAAGGGCTCAGGTGTTGGGGCTGGGCTAGACTTATAAGCTGGCCGGCAGGCGGGGGGGAGGTGTGTGTGTTTGAGGTGGTGGGGTGCAGCGGCTCGGCTGTGGCTTGCAGGGCTTTGACTGGGGACCTGCTGTCTTGACTTGGATGGGGTTGAGGGGCTGAGACAAGAGGTGCCGCAGCTTCGCCTGGCACAGACTCAGAGCAGCACCGGTCCCACTGCTTCGACTTTTGCTTGGAATCTTTAGGTTTGAATGCTTTGCGGGTCTTACGGGACGGAGCGGAGCTGTCGGGCTTGCTTGTGGGCCAGTGCTCACCAGAGGAATCGGCGCCTGAGAAGCGCAGCTGTGTTGCGGTTGTGCGTGTCGGGGATTTGAGGCCTGGGGCCCGGTGCATGTCGATGCCTGCAGTAGGCGTGGTCAGCAGTGGGATATGCGCGATCCTGACGAGTAGGGTGCGCAGACGGCTTGCTGCGGAAGCCGGAGGGCCAGAGATTGCAGGGGTCGAGCGGGATCTGTCGGCCCAGGAGCGGCCAAAGTACTGCTTTTGGGGCGGGTGGCAGTGCCGCAAGCGGCCTGGAACGGCAGTACGGGCTGCCTGGCCCGGGTCACACTCTCGCCATCTGCATTGGGTGCGCTCTCATAATCGCTCCAATCACCCACCTCCAAACCCCTACATCCCATCCATTTTTCTTCCTTTCCCTAAACACAAAACAACCCACACATACACACATACACACGTACACACACCCGCACAAAAACACACGCACACACACACACGCGCACACACACACACACACACACACACGCATGCACACCCTCCCCACCTTCCCCCCCAGACCTACGCCTTGGACAACAAGACCCTGGCCCTCATCGAGGTGGTGGTGCTGGGCTTCGCCGAGGCCAAGCGCTACGAGAGCTTCAAGAAGACCGGGGAGGTGAGGGATGGACCCGAGAGCCTGACAAATTTGATTCCAAGCGAGGGAAAACAGGGGGGCGGCAGGTGATGATGTGTGGAAAATGGCGAGGGGGATGAGGGATGATGTGCAGCTCTCAGCCGCCGACCGAAAGGCGACATGGAGAAGTGCGTTACAGGACGGAAGGGAGAAAGGGGGCAGCAAC